TCTAGCAATAAACAATAGAAGAATCAAATATTATATAAAATATTTTCTTAATAACCATAAAATAAATATATTAAAATTCTTGTTTTAAATAATTTTAAATACTAAATTAAATTTAAGTACAAATTCAAATAAAAATTTAATTAGATTATTTATAAATTTAAACATTTCAATAATATAATCTATGAGTTCTTCATACTTATATTTTTATATTCGGTATCATTTTCCGAAAAATTCGCCTAATATTCTAAATAATCTTATTATTTTAAGTAATTCTTCTTATCGATCTTCGGAATTCTAGCTCAATAATTACCATCAATTATATATTATATTAATCATATTCGTAACCTCATCTCATATTATATTCATATAAAATGTTTATCAATTTTTTTCAAATATAATTACAGAATCTTTTAAATATACTTATATAATATAACAAATATAATATTCAATAATCCTAAATTTCGTCACAACCTCCAAAGATATAATTTGACAACCTCTTTGCTGCCAGAAATTCAAAAAATTCTGTACATATACACAAAAATATTTCTATATATATATTTAAATATAAGTGTTCCAACCTTTCTTCTTAAAAATATACCTTTAAACTTGTAGACCCAGTTTTAGAAATTCATTCAAACGCAATTTCCCGGCCTGCGCACTTCTTTTTTGAAACTTCATTTGCTGATGTCCAAGGCAGTCGACCGATCCGTCTCCGGGAAGAGCCGACCCTGGAAGCCATCCATGACCAGTCCTGAACACGTGCAAGGAGGCTTCCCCGATTCATGGCAGGCACACACATCTTCTTTCTAGGCTTCAATAACCGTTCAGGCGTCCTCCTTAACCGTAGTCGCTATCATGACGCTGGGCTTCCCTGGTTCACTGGGTTGCCTCCTGTCCGTCCAGTTCGTGGCCTTTAAAAATTTCGGTTTGGCTTCCGGTCACAGCCCTGAAAACAGGTAGCTTCGAGAAAAGAACCTCTTCGCTGATGTGCAAGCTTGCGTGGTGCCGAGAGGTCCTCTATGATTATGGTTGTAGACCTTTCCCCATCGGCAGGGGCCCTTGCCCCCGAACTGCGGCGAAGCGTCGGTAGGTGCAGTAATCCTCCGATGTCCCAAACCTGGAGAGGAAAACGGTCAAGAAACGGCTTCAGCTTGTGCTCCCCGCCCGAAGCCCCGCTTGTTCGAACAAGTACCACATCCACACATGCCACGGCTAGAGTCGGTTCTGCTGATCACAACCCAAGCCAGGACAACAGCCGACACCAAAGCAAAGCATTAATTATGTCAACCTATAGGACCTATAGCACGCTCTTGGCAGGCCGCACCCCGCGCGCCTGCGTGGGAAGCTGGAGCTCTGTGCTTCCGCCAATCTCACGGGAGCAGGTAGCTGCAGCTGCCACGCAAGTGCAAATGCAGTGCGAACGGAGATCCGCTCCAGCTGAGCTGCTCGTCTGATGCTGGCAGAGAGTGCAAGCCAGCTTCAGTGCCTCACCCGATATCGGGACTTACAGCGCATTTTGCGCAGCCGGGACGAGCAGCTTGTAAGGGCGGCATCTGCCGCGAGGTGCTCTCTAGCACGAACGCCCGGGAAGACTTCGTGGCTCAGCGCAGGCAAGCGGAGGAAAATCTGGAAGTATTGAAACCTTCGGGCCTGGCCTTGGGCTTCTGTCCGACCGGATCCAAGACCCTCAGCTGTGAACACGGTGCGCAAAGAAAGCGCAAATGGCAGAAAAACCCGCAACCTCCTGTAGCAGGGCTGGCCACGTGTCCGTCTTGCTAGGCCGCAAGCTCGGCCGCACGCAAGTTGCAAGCAAGGATCAACAGTTGTCAACAGTTGGCAAATAATATACAAGCCGTCTTGCTGGGCCGTTGGTTCGGTTTGCAGTATTTACAGAACCCGTACTTTTGTTAAAGCCACTGATATGAGTACTCAGCAGCACAGCGCCACACCTTGCGTCGGGATGAGCACCGGACGATGCGAACCTCAGCTTTCCTGTCTGTGGCCTTCTTATCGCCCGTTCAGTGGATGTATAATTAGCGGTCTGCCTGTTCACTCCCACTTTGACAGCAACGCGAGCTAGCCGAGCGGAAGCATGTTACTGGAGACCAGTCTTCTCTGGACCCTGTGCCAGGTTATCCCTTTGCTTCAGCCGGCTGATGGCCACTCCAAGAGAACCAAGAGCCCAGCTCGGGTAAAGTGCTGAGGCCGGACCCAAGCAGATAAGCAGAGGAACTCCTGGTTGGATCAAACAGCTTCGGCCGCAGCTTCTGGATCTGAACAAGACGCATCCGACGCATATACATTAAGAACCCTGAGAAAATCTAAGCGTCAACCTCCGTGAACCCACTATTGCAGTTGAAGCTGCCGGGGAGAAAGACTTTCGCAACCTCCAGCAGCTGCTTGCCGAGTGGCCGCCTTGTTGGGCCGTGACAGAACCAGCTATTATCTACCAGTAGTTATTTCGTTAAAGGCATTGCTGTGCTGACTCGGCGGCACGGTGCGGCGCCTCCCGTCAGGGTGAGCACCGCACGATGCGAACCTCAGCTTTCCTGCCTGTTGTCTTCCCGTCGCCTGTTCAGTGGATGTACGCAGGTCTGCCTGGTCACTCCCACTTTGACAGCAATGCGAGCAAGCCGAGCGGAAGAATGTTATTGCAGGCCAGTCTTCTCTGGACCCTGTGCCAGGCCCACTCCTCTCGAAGCCAAGGCCCTATTTCACAGCAAAGTTTTGTCAGCAGCCTCTAACAATTTCTGCTCCACAACTCCTTCTGCCCCAAACGTGTGGCGAAGTTCCAAGCGAACATGTCATGTCGAGCCTTTCACCTACTCGTGAGACCTCGTGAGGCGTCTATCACGCGTAGCACAGATGATACGGGGCTGTTTTTTTGACATGAAAGACATGGCTAAGCCATCCCGCGACCTCAACCTGCACAGACCTTCGAAAAGCGGTTACAAGAGGCAAAACTATGCACTGACTGGCGGAGATGACACCGCCGGCATCTGACTCTACGGTTGTCGATAAATGGCTCATGCGTGCAGTGGACTCCCAAAACAGCGAATTGACACCCCTTAGAGCACGGCAGCTCCAAACAAGCAATGAGGCGCTGCCTACGCCACAAGTTTTTCAATTCAAGTCCACACCGCACACACTCTGCCTGCCGGCTGCCTTCACGTGTTTTGAGTCGGAAACTATGTGCAGGATGCGTAGTGGACGCATGCTCAAACAACTGCACCCTAGTTGGAGGTTTGAGGCCCTGGATCTTCACATCAGCCGGTTTCGGCATGGTGTCTTGCCAGAAGCCGTATCGCAGCATCAACGCTTCTTGAACCTTGCGACACCGGCCATCGACACAAGAAAGCAACGCAACACGACGGTTGAGACACCATGCATGCGCAAGCTGGGCGGCGACAGCGCCCACATGGGGGCTGTTCTTTATCATGGTTGCAGCCCGTAACTCGAAAATCGCCTTGCACTTCGCCCTTGCGCGCTCTTGCGCGCACGCGGTTTTAAACGCATTCCCACCTGGAAGCCTTGGTAAACCTGCTTACAATTGCTTACACTACTTTATCGCCCTTGCACTTGCCCTTGCACCGTGGTGATGGGGCAGGTCATAAACCTGCATTAAGATATTAAAGTGCGCTGTTAGTCTACGGTCAAGAAGCGCGGGTTTAGAACAACCCTCACATGCCTTGTGGGGACGCGAGCGGCGTGCTTTTCGGAAATGCCCTCCGCCGAAGGTCACTGGGCTATACCGGGAGAGCGCCTCTCAAACCGTGGTCGATGCGGAGGGGGCAGTGCGGAGATTTTCCGATGACTCCCTGTCAAGTTAGGGATCGCATAGTAAGGTCGCACAAACATCCGGGGCACAATGCAACTTGCAATAGCCGGGGAGTTTGAAGAAGGCTCCTTCCTACGTCTCGGCCTGCCGGCTACTCTGGACAATCTGTACATGAAAGCTTGATCCAACCCTTGCTCAAGCAAGAATGTCTATGCATACTGTCCGAACGCGCCAGCTGCGTACGGCATCGACGTACATGGCTTTTATGCTACGAAGGTGTTCAATCCGTCGACCTATCTCGTGTCAAGAACCAGACCCCTTAAGAGATGTGCGCGAGCTGCTATGCCATCTTGCAAACTCTCGTCGCGAAGGTCACGGCAAGTCTATGTTCGCAATGCTCAGGCAGCCCCCCAGCTTAGGCTCACGACGACCTGCATCCAGTCCAGCGTAGATAGGAACAAAAGGTCAGCGTCTCAAGCCACCGATGCCCATGGACGACCTGGAGTCCGGCGGTTGGAAAAAGGGTCACAAATTTCGGCACTCAGCCGGCAGGTCCCGACATCGATACTAGCGGTAGCAGAGCATCACGCAAGGACATCCTTCGCCAGCGCCGGCGGCAGCATGGCTCGTTCTAGAGGTCAGTACGCCCGTGCAGGTCTTAGGTGTCGCAGAGAATCCAGCTTAGGATCGAGGCTGTGCAGACTGCAGATTTTATTATGCTTTTACTCTCTTGGCATCTTTGGCTTTTGGTACTGATTTGGTTGGTGGCTTTCGCCGAGCTTGCTACTGTCAAGCAGAGTTGGTATGCTGGCTTAGAGAGCAGCCCTGTCGTCCTCTTTACCTGCGGACAACTTTGCGGCTCCCTCTCCAGGTGGGCCTTCTGAGCCTGTAGAGAAACATGCTGCGCGTCATCAGCGCCCGTAATCATTTTCCGGAGCAGATTGACGCCAAATGGCGAGTGGCCTGCCTTGCAGAAGCCCTGGTACCTGGCATGGGTCGTGGTGCTGGGCGTCATGGCCGTCAGCTGCGTGCAGGTGTCGATAGTTTCCAAGCGCAGTCGCAAGTTTGCCTCTGATTGCCCCTCGTGAACCTTGCTGGATTGAAGTATCTCAAGCACCGAAGCGGCTGATAACCTCGAAAAACCTTGCATGCAGAACTCCGCGCTTGTGGATCTGCCCAGCAACCCAAAGGCGCCCCACGGTGGCAACCGATGGAGGTGCCCGAGGCTTCCCTCGGACGCGGGCTCGTCATGATAGATGGGATGACTGGTCTTTTGCTGGCTGCGCGGCAGCTAAGCACTGCAGCTCAGTTATGGACAGGCCTAGAGCCTAAGCTAGGAGCGACCCCGGAACTCGAACCTCAACCGGGATGTTGCGTTGCAAAGAGATGCACCTGAAGGAAGCAGCCAAAACTGTTCTCACGAGGCTCCAAGTCGACATTGCTTCCACATAGTCAGTGGAAGGTGCCTCTGAGTCGAGGAGGCAGTGTGCCGCTTCACTCCTAAAGGCCTGCGTCGAGTCGCGGGAATTATTGCGGCAAGATGTCTGAATCGACCAGAACGAGACTCCTTAAGGACGAGCGTGGTTCCAACACAACACGGCATGTTACATGCTGTGGCTGCTGGACTGGGTTCCATGAAGATGCACCGTAAGGGCTCGACCAACGTTTTAAGCCGAAGCTTTTCCCCAGTCAGTGCAAGGTGCAAGCAAAAAACGAAACTTGGCAAGCAAAGATCGCTTTTATGGTATCTCAATTACAGCCAGCGCGGATGGCCCGGTGCAAGTCGGTCTCCGGCTTTGGACAGCCATCCACGCAGCCCTTGCAAATGCACTGCTGGTAAACCGTGCTGATGACGACAGCTGTGCATTCGCATGTACGTTCCGAGATGCTGGCCTGCTGTCACATGGCCCGAGTCGAGGGGGCACTGTGCCGCTTCACTTGTGAAGGCCTGCGTCGAGTCGCTGGAATTTTTGCGACTCGAGCATGGAGACAATGCCGGCAAGAATATTCTGAATCGACCAGAACGAGCCCTTCTTACGCATGAGGGTGGTTGCAACAGAGCACGACATGTTACGAGCTGCTGCTGCTGCTGGACTCGGTTGCAAGGAGATGCAGCGCACGGACTCGGCCGAAGTTATAAGCCGGAGCTTCTCCACCGTCCGTGGAAGCTGCCATCCCCCGCTCCGCGGGAGCCCGTGACTATAGATTAGTGAGGGTAAGTGTGGATTCATGAGTCCGTAACCTGCGCATGGCTTCCCGGAGTGAGATGCACTGGGTTCAGGCGCAATGCAATTTTGACCCCGCAATCGGAACTGCCAGGCCCCAAGTCGTGAAGCTGTACATCCAAATTTCACACCTATGTCGGCACGGGGGTGCCTATGTTGGCTCGTGACCCTGGATGGCCAGTTGCTGTCGCATGCAAAGGTCGAAGAGGCAATGGACCGCTTCACGTGTTCTCATGAAGACCTGAATCTGTGTCGAGCTCCACGCAGCTCTGCGGTTCATGCATGGAGACAGGATCTGCAAAAAATGTCTGAACAAACCAGAACGACGTCGCAGATCCGATGCTGCATGGCATGATGTGCACTGGTGCGTGCAGCAAGGACTGAGACTCGGCCAAGCGTTTAAGTCGAAGCCCCTCCAGTGTCAGCACGGATAACCCAATGCAAGCTTGTCCCTCGCCGGGCAAAACCCCGACTTGGAGGGTCCAGTAGGATGCGACAGCCTCCTGAGCTCTCGAGCACTTAGTGTGGACAGCGAAGCTTCAAGCGCAATCATTACCGTGAGCCAGCTTGCATGAGCGTCCACTTGATTAACGCCATGAGGCCAACTGGCCCAACTATTGCTTCAGTTTGCATCAGGTGCTGTAGTTGCAGAATGGCACGCAATGCACGCTCTGCCCTACTCGAGCAGTCATACGAGCACCTTGCTGGATGCTAAGCCTGCCCCACAGTCTTTCTGAAGCTGGCTGCTCTTATCCCTCCGAGCCTTCGCCAGCGCAGGTAGGCGCGGCTCATGCACTTTGACTGCAAGCCAACCGTTGTGCGAACATTGACACTGCAGTTTTAAGAATTGTTCGATGGGATCGATCTCGCAACTCACGATCCAGAACGAGCCAGGCCATGACCAACATGACCCGTACCAGACCAGCTCGATCTGACGTCAGCATGCCACTGAAGAAGACAGCCGAAGGCGACGTACAGGTACCCATGCTCAGGACAGCAAATTCCTGTCTGCCAGCTGTTTCAACCTGACTTCCCAAGGCAAGCCAACGAATTCTCGGGACTCCGGGTCAGGGAAATGCAGCTTTGTTCAAGGCGCCGACCAAACATCTCGAAAGGCTTAATTGAGCACGGAAGGAGGATCTCCGAAAGCAACCCTCGTTCAAGCATGCAAAGACGCCATGAGCCAACTGACTCAGACCAACCGACCGTTGCGAAAGGAACGGGTGCATGGGCATTACGCCCCCGTGCAATCTTGAAGCAAGGGGCTGCAGCAATGATGCAGGAGGATGGCTAGCGGCTAGTCACTAGTCAGTACCGAGGACCCATGAAAGTCTCTCACTCGGTGTGGATCCCTTTCTTGGCTCGCGCATCATCCCTTTGAACAGCGAGGCTTTAAGCCGTGAAGCATCCCTGCGCAGCATATCTATG